CTGCTGCACCACAGCTTGCCAAACTGAAGACGCCTGTAGTTCTAGCAAAAGTAAATGCTGACAAGTTTACTCGTCTTGCTAAAAAATTTGACGTTGAGTATGTTACTCGCCCTTTTTGCATGTTCAATGTTATAAACTATGTGGGTTTATTTAGTTTTTGTTTTTAGTTGTGCCTTTTGGCTTCAATACAGAGTTTAGTACAAATCTCCGAGAGACCATTTCTCTTTTCTTAACGAGTTTGCTATTCAAATACGAATTCTTAGATTATCTGAACGGCGAACCATAATTCTCTTCTAACTACGTGAACAAATTTGTACCGTTGTAGTGCCTATCCTACAATCAAGATCTTCATGCATGGCATTCCAGTAGACTATTATGGACCAAGAAAAGCAGACTTGCTTGTCCGTTATCTGAAGAAATTTGTTGCTCCGGATGTCTCAATTCTGGACTCTGACTCATCGATTAATGATTTTGTTGAAGCTGCTGGGGCTTATTTCCCTATCTATTTGGGTTTTGGTTTAGATGAATCTATTATTTCTAAATTTGCTATTAAGTACAAGAAAAAGGCTTGGTTTTCAGTGGCAAAGGGTTTCTCAGAGGATGTCATGGTGTCTTATGATTTTGATAAGGTTCCTGCTTTGGTTTCTGTCCATCCAAATTACAACAATGAGCGGAGCACTTTCTATGGCCCCTTTGAAGGTTGGTTTGTATATCAACTGCCCTAATCTATCAAGTTACCTCATCTGGGTTCACGTCCATGTGTGTAATCAGAATGGTTTCTGAGAGTTAAAACCTTGTCATGCAGTATGCTATACATAAATCGTTTATTGTATTATGTAACTATTTCTTAATTTCCCGAACCTGCTATTAGAAGTTTACGATTCTTTTGAGTGTTTCATGCACTGTTCATAGGGATGTTAAACTGCACTTTATTTTTTGCACTGGCTAGTCTCACTTATTTAGGGAGAAGGTTGGAACTTGGAAGAACTTTCCATGAGGAACATATGTGGCTTGGAAGCTTATGAGACCAGAGGTTATTGATATTTATATAAATTGTTAAATAGGCTAAGTTCCCAATTGCTTGAATTCTTACCTATTGTATGTGTACACCAAGATGTGCCTGCTTGATTTCTTTTCGATTGTCATGAACATCCCAATAAAATTTCTTCTACATATAGTTGTGTATACATGGTCCTTCAGGTGCTTGAATGTTCATCCGTCTGACTCTCTGTCATTGATATGTTATATGTTCGAGATAAAATGGTTTAAGCTTTCCTATTTTCATTGTTCAGAGCAATTTTTGGAGGAATTCATAAAACAAAGCTTGTTTCCTCGTGTTCTGCCCATAAACTACGACACTCTTAAGCTGCTAAAAGATGATGATAGGAAAATAGCACTCACAATCGTGGAGGATGAGGATGATGACCAGACAAAGAATTTGATCAATTTATTAAAGGCTGCTGCATCTGCTAATCGGGACTTGGTGTTTGCTTATGTTGGGGCCAAACAGTGGGGAGAATTTACAGATTCATTTGGGGATAAGAAGACCACACTGCCAAAAATGGTCATCTGGGATGGGAAGGATGACTACTTAACGGTAAGTCCTCATTGAAGGCAAATGATACTGTATATCATGTTCATTCTATCGTTTGGTTTTTTGGCTGCTATGATGTCACATTTTGCACAGCACTTAGCATCATGTTGGTTGGGATGGGTATGCTCTCAATATTTTTACTGCCGTAGGGTAATTAAAATTGTGACAAACCAAAATTTCTTGAATATTTGTCTTAAAAGTCATCCTGAATATTAAATCTGCTAGCATGTCATTGTGTTTAGATAGGAATAGCCACAAACATGCATGTCAAATCATGAGTAAAATTAGACATGCATATATGATACTGACATATAATAACTCTTGCATGTATGAAGCCTGAAGAAACAAGTTCTCTTTAATGGGCTAAATAATTTTGAAAGAATTATTCGTTCAAATGGTTCCATTTGATTGTGCTTGTGCAGCAAGATGAGTTTTTCTGTAATATCTGGACCGTAGCATGCATGCTCTAATGGGATTAGTAGTATGCTATAACTTTATTAGACAGCAAAGGCTGTATAGTTGACCCTAAGGAAATCAATACAATTCAGCCTATCTTAGTCTTTGATTATACGCTGTAGATGTCAAATACTAAAATGTTCTTGTGAAGAAAACAAAATTCCATTTCTATGCCATCCGCTCAACTCGGTATCATTCATGGGAGAAGAAAGGTCTATCTCTGGAAGATTAATTTTTGAGATAGCTGACATTTTTAGACACTACATTTCATTCAAAGGAAAACATAAACATGAAAAAAGAGATATATACATGTGTACAAGTAGCATAATGAGGTAGTTTAACTTGTGTTTTTTGTGTTTGATAGGTTATTGGTTCAGAAAGCATTCTTGGGAACGACCATGCAACACAAATCTCAAAATTTATCGAAGGATACAGAGAGGGGAGAACTGAAGAAAGAAAAATTGCGGGTCCTTCATTTATTGGCTTCATAAATTCACTGATAGGCATCAGGACTGTATACATCCTTGTGATTATTGTTGGAGGAATAATGCTTTTCCAAACCCTCACCAAAGATGATAACGAATATCGTAGAGTCGATACTCCGAGTCGAGACCAGTTCGACCAAACTAGCAGTAGCACCTCTACCTCCTCCCAGGTTGAAAGAAGGGAATATAGGGCTGGTGACAAGCAAGATTGAACGTGGATTTTGGTGAATTTATTCTTAGTTGGATCTCTGAATGGCTTAGGGAAAGCAGATATCGGCATGGATCAGATATAAATTTATCTCGGCACGATGATTATGAAAAGAAAACTGAGGAAATGTGTGATTTTGGCGATCAGTTCATAAGCATTGTTTACCCTTTGTGGAAGATAACTTATATTTGATGCATGCTCTTGTTCTACTTGTTCTTATTTACGTGTTTTTGGTTCAATTGAATTGATGACTTGCATTCTGTTTCTCCCTTTTCATTCTGCTGACTATTCAGGCCTTTTAGTTTGAGGCATCTCATCAAACTCAGTTGATATTTTGTAAGAATTTAGCTAACAGTGTTTCCAAGTTTAATATAGATAACTAGGGATTCTTGAAAAATAAAAATAAAGATTTAATAATAACTTTAATTCTTGAAACTTCCTCACAGGATTTTGAAATGTTATAATTACATAGTATTTAGTCTTTCAATTTTGAATTTCTAGTAGACCTTTCTAATATCCTATTAATAATATTACTAATTCAAAATATAGAGACGTGGTTTTTGAAGTATGGAGATAAATGAGCAATATTCAAATAGACACCGTAGGACTAAATTTCTAATATAATTTAGAATATATGTTTTAAATATAAATTTAAGTGATGTTTCTAACAGAGTCTATCTTGAGAGAGAGAGAGAGAGGTGTATCACAAAATCATCCTGGTTAGCTGTTAATCTAAGTCTGTAGTGTATCCTATCACATAATCCATTGAAGAGTCTCAAAACCAACCCCAGATATATATACTCTCCACTTTAAAATTTCACAACCTCTACAAATGAACTTCTTCAAAGCCAAAAGAAATGGAGCAAATCGTATGAAATAATATACAATGATGCCGGCAACCAGGGTATTTCAGACACATCAACGACTGAGGAATTGATTTACAAACCAGATGATGCCATAATTCAACCATACCTCACCTCACCCCACCCCGGACCTTCCCTCTGCAAAAAGAGGGTCGGGCGATATCTGGCACAGATCTGCGTCATTCCTGTATCAGCATTCGGGAAGAGACCGAGCTGAAGCAAACGGAGAAAAACTTGTAGCTGACTCGCTACAATGCAAGGGATTCTGTTGATGACTGGAAGAACCCATGAAACTTGGCGAGGCATTGCTTGGACTCGGAATAAGCGGAATCATGTATCTTGAATGTAAAGGTGATATGGATGGGTAACACGAGGAATACGGCGAAACCAAATGAGAAGCATAAGATCTTTGGGAAGATGCATTTTGGAGCTCAACTGAGCTTCTGCTCACGCTCAAGGATGGGGATTGGCGGTAGGAGGATCTAAGAGACTGCTGAAGGTAAGGGGTGCTTGAAAGAGAGTGGTTCCGAGATACCGAAGGCGATCTTGATGCTGGGGATATTTGTATGGCAGAGCTTGGTGGCAAGGATGATCTCACAGAAGATAATATCGAGGAGGAGGCAACAGAGTTGGGAGCGCTCGAAAGCAATGGTGTTGATTCTGCAGGTGGTGGATTACTGGTGCTAGTTCTTGCATCTCGCTTGCAGACTGGGCAGAAGGTTCTCCAAGCAGTAAGCCAAGAGTCCACACAGATGGCATGAAATTCTGAAAATCAGTTCCACAATTAATCTACGTTCAGTATCAAATTACAAGCAGTTAGCAAGAGCATATGTATGAAACAAATGTGGGTACAGCTATCCATGTAAGCAAAGTACTGCATAACAAAAGGAAAGAGGGGGCAAAAGAAGTACATAACGACCCCCTATGTAATCTTGATCCTGTAAGCACGGGGTGGAAGGAAACTGTGGAAGGAAACTATTAGAATTCTGTTCGTGAGTTACCGGTATAAAGCAGGGGATTAGGGTTGGAAATTTGATGAAGAGAAATGGGGCATTGTTGGCAAAATGGCCTTAGAGATATCCCCTTGAATCATAGGAGCTATAGAGTCCGGTGGTAAGAAGTATTTGTGGTATAACTTATAAGGAAACATGGTTGGTTCACTGTTCATGTCCAGGGGAAAACCGTAAGCAAATAGATGGTCAGAGAATAGAAACATATCATGAAGCTTAAACCTCCTTTGAAGCCCCTACATATATTAAATCTGGAAATGGGCACATAACCTACGTTTCAAGAGATAACTGGCTAATTGTCTCAGCCCTAACGATGTTACCCTAGACCTTTTGTAGTGTCACAAAATAAGGAAGCGCCTCTGTCGAGGAAATGTGAAGGACAGCAATGGCGGATGGAAATGTGGAGGGTAGCATTGAGTGAGTTTCTACAACTATCTGGAACTTGAGATAGAAAAGATAGAAAATACTAGATATTGCATCCCTCTGCAACATTTTCAGCGAGATCTTTTTATTTTTTTCCTTCAGTATAACGAACACAAAATCAACTCTAAACAAGAAACTCTCAGGCATGATTTGGAAAGGAAAGGGACCATCAACTCTAAACAAGAAACTCTCAGGCATAATTTGGAAAGGAAAGGGACCATGGTAGTCTAGCGATGGCTGAAAAGAATACAGAAAAGATGCCCGAAGACAAGCTGGCATCTACTTCTTCACTGTACCCTTAACAAGACATGTCGGACATCCTTGATGTTGCAATTTCATATATCCTGTGCCTTTGACAAAGATGCAAAAGACAATACTTTTCAGGAACTATGTAGGGACACACAGATTTAGGAAAGCAAGAACTCTGTGGATATATGCGGTTAAGGCCTTATGGAAGAGAAAATAGTTAGGAAGAAATTCTCACATTTTAATGGAGAGGACCAACAATGGGATGTAGTTTTTGACTTTGCTAAGTTCCTTCTTTCCTTTCAAGGTTCTTTATCTAACTTCTTTTCTTTGTTTAGCAATATGGGAGGGAATTCAACCATTACGACAGATACATTATGACTTAACCAATTGAACTATGCTTAGGTTGACTTTTTTTGTCGTCATTTTCCTTTTGTAATTAACACAACATGGGGAGAGGGGAGCTTTTTTGCAAGATTATAGAGAAGTTCTTTTTGTCCAACTTTACACTAAAAACATGTGCGCGAGCTTGGTTAATCAGGCTCCTACTGCCCTTTATTTAATCAAGGCAGCGTAACTTTAGCACTCTCCACTTCTATGAAATCTGTTATATTCCCAGTTCTATCTGTAAAATCAACCTAATATCCTGCTGGTACGACTTTCAACTAAAAAAAGTACATTTATACCCCAACCACTCAAATTAAGAAATATCTTTTCTCTCTTCAGACGTTAATTTAAACCACATGAAACAAACTAATGAGCCAAACTCTAGTTGCTGGCTGACAAGAAAGCTGCAGCCAAGACCTCCAGCAACTAAATTATCTAAAGAAATCAAATGGCTTCAGGTCGTGAAAGTGGTTGTTACATGAATAATATAAAGGAGCCTAAACTTTATGTTCGTAAAAGAGCTTATACTTTTTTTACCAAATAGGAGCATCTCAACATTTTTTGAACAATTTAAACTAGGTCTTGGCGCAATGATTTAGTAAGACATTGATTAACCACTACCTTTATGATTTACATTAGTTCCTACAAACATGCTAGTATTCTTGCTTTATAAAGATTAAAGCTCATTCATTATAAACCTGAATTCACAAATATTGGGCAAGATATATACACAACAAAAAAATATAAACTTTAGTACAACGGAGTGAACTTACTGTGACGACATGGTAGAATTCTGAGCTTCTCACCAGCAGTATAGTCCTCGAGGCATATGGCACATGTTATTGATGTACAGTTATCCTCTAAAGCAGTAGTAAATATCAGGCTTGGCATTGCTTTTACTACACGTCTACTCATGCCCCGGAACTCTTGAAGATGAGAAGATCGTGGACGTTCTCGTCTTATTCGATGCCTACGAACGAAGAAACAAGTAGCAAGCACTGCAGACATGGCAAGAAGAGAAATAAAAGAGATAGCCATGATGGACCATGCAGAGTTTTCAAAGCTTGGAACAATCCATATCTCAGTGTTAGCCATGCCTGCATACTTCTTCAATGTCTCACCAGATTCTTTAGTAACAAATACAGCATGTATTCTAATACCAGCCGAGCTCCCTGCCACTGCAAACTCTTCAAAGTCATGACCAGGAATCTTCAAGCTAAAAAGAAATCTCTTTGTAGAATAGTGCATAAATCAGCTCACTTTCAAATCATTTACTCTTATGTATGCATGCGATAAATCATGACCAAATAACTCCACACCCATTAACAGAGTAGAAAAATCAGGGAAAGGTAAAAGTGAAACTTTTAATTGGAAACCAAGTGTGGGCACATGGTTTAGTTAGATTGATAAAGCAATAACATCATTATTCTCCTGAAACAATTAATGCCAAGATGCCAAACAATTGCTCCAATCGTAGCCATCAACAACAATGTTAACTATATCCAGAATTCCAGTGATTCCCAAGATAGCATACATGCAAACTTTATTTGCTAAATCCGTGGTAAATGGATCGTAATTAAAGAATTGGATGAGTATTCTAATTGATGAGCAAGGAATTTGATCTTTTCTAGTTTATCATTTATTTAAAATATAAAACTAAGGTATACCAAGACCAACACAATTCCATACACTAAGACTAAGGTAAATATATAGAAAATTAACTTTGAAAAGCCATTTTATCATATTTTTTGGGGATTTCTGGACAAGATCCTTTAAAAGAAAGACTTCGTTTTAAGTAAAGATCTTGGGTGGTCAACAGCCGCTCTGTCAATTTCTCCATCAAAAAAATAAAAATAAAAATATAATTCTGTAAGTATTTGAAGTATACTTTTTAAATAAAATATTTGTAACTAGTAAATCTAATTCAATGTTTGAGAGTAGATAAGTAAATCGCTAAAGCACTAATATCTTCAATATAAGTAAATTGAATCACTGCAGCATGCATGGCAACAGAGACACAGTTAAACCCTATAAATCGTATAGAAAGTACATCTACGTCCATAAATGGGGAATGGGTATGCATTTAATAGAGTAAAAAATCATTACTCGCAATTAGGGCACCACCATCTTCATTGTCATAGATAATCGCAGCTTTAAATCCAGCCACTTGAGCTCTCCTTACTTTATCCTCGAAGCTACATCCCCCTCTAATCATAAGCGCAAATGGTGAACTAGAGTTTACAGACAGCTCAACTTTATTTGTCAATGCCGAGCATGCATCGAGAGGTTTTGCCACATAAAGCACCCCAGGTTCCCCTGAACTTTTTATTGAAGGAGCTGAAATCAGAAATACCAGAAATAAATAAAAGAACCAAATGCGGAGATTTAAAAATAGAGAGAGAAAAAGACGTAGGAAAGAAAACTGAAACCACATAGCAGTCTGAAATGCATATATTTCACTCGTCTCCTTCTCTTTTTTCCTTTTTAGATAACCATGTCCGATTCATCTTCTCAAAACATGACGGCATCCTAAATCATCTTTTACTATTCGACAGAATCTTAAATCAGAAAATCATTGCTTATTAACAGCAGAATCCATATAGTCAACCGTATCCCCTGTTGGCACAAGTGATGAGGAGAGCACAGACATTTAATCCAGTGCCCGACTCAGAAGCCATTCACCAGTATACAACAGAATCAACTTGGCAAAATTTTGAAATGAAGCGAGCAGGCAAAGGGGAAAAAAAGAGAGCATAAACAAAACTAACCGAAATTGGCTTCAATGGAGTCGAAGGAAAGAGTGACGTTGGTCCCAATCAATACCACATTAGCTGCCGAGCGACAACAGCCAACGAAAAGAAGTGAAAACAACAACGCGAGACCTGGATTCATCGCACTCCAAGCCATGGACCGAAAAACCCTAATCAGTAAGAGGGAAGAAGGAGATGATAGAGATTGAAGCGGAGAGCAAAATTATGAGTCTTTAGAAATATCAATGGAAACATCAGCTTCCATCTCTCAGAAGGAAACACCGTGAATCTGCGTCTGGGACTGAAATTGCCTTCTCCGATGATGAAACGAAAACAATAATAGAAATAAAATAAATAAATAAACAGAAAATGATAATGATAATGATAAGAGAAACGAGAGGAAAATGCAGCAGAGCAAATAATAGTTCGTCGAAAAAATCTGACAAACCAAAAAATTAAGTACTTCCCATAAATATAAAACAATTACGCTGCTACGATACGAGATATAGAGATAATATTATTTTCTTTTTTAGAGTAAGTAACAAGGACAATATTTTTTTTCTCTTTGCTGTCAAGAAAAAAAATTACAAAGATAATATTTTTTTGGTTAGAAAGTACGTTTGGTCTACAATTACTTGAAGTAACATAAATGAAAATAAAGGATTGAAACTCCAATTGAAAATGAACGAGCTGTTAGTTAAGTTCCTATTATTGTTGGTCAAGAAACATAATTATATATAAACCATCGTGGGTGGTTCATTTTTCGGTACCAAATATTGTAAAGTCAGACGTTGTTCTGTGAGATTATTCGAGATATGCGTAAATTAGTTCGGACACTCACGTATTAAGTATTTATTCTAAAATATATGTATTATAAATTATGGTTTCAAGTTTTTTTTTTCCTGAGACTTTATAATCAATAACGAGGATTTATCATCGACTAGACTTGGCCAACTCAATCGGATAAGATAGTCGGTTCAAACTCCACTATTCAAAGAAAAAAGAACATTGGCTAAACTTGAGCTCGTTCTATGTTAATCCAATTCTGAACTGACCAATCAAGAGAAATGGGCTGGACTTCTTATTTCATCCATTTGGGCCCGGCCCATGTAAGATCCAATCATTTTGGATATTTTAGTTTTTAGTTATAACTCAAGTCTATCTTCGACAAAAGAGAGATTTGATAATTTTGGATATTCAATTAACAGAGAAAAAAAAAAGTCTTAGGTTGTCATCATTTCCTTTTTCTAATGAGTACGAGTGTCAAAAGGAGAAAATTCTCTCCCCTAATATATATGTTGAGGATTCTAACCTCAATATTTTGATCTTAAGTTGGGATTTTAAATATTTTTAATTAATGTATGAGATAAATATATTTTATTAATTTTTTTCTTCCATACAGTTGTATTCATAGGACAAAAATTATTTACTACCGTAGTAATATTTATATAATCAAAAGATCTGACGATGAATATTTGTAATCGATCTCTTATAAATAAATACTAAATATATAGACTTGTCTCAATGTCCTAAAAAAATTTATATTTTATCTTCATTATTTTAGAACTCTCATTTTATCTCTAACATATTAATTTTTAGAAAAGAAACTTTTAAACGTGTGTAGATAAAGACAATTCAACGACGAATTGATTAGGTGTAATTTTTATTCACCTTCCTAGTATATGAAAAAATAATATACTCCATTTGAAGGAAGAACCAAGCGAAGAAAACATTCTTCTATTATCTCTTTGACATAACTCTTCTACCATCTTTTTCTTTTTTAGTTTTATATTTTTAAAAATTATTTTCCAATGTTAGGTAAGTTTTTCACCTCTCTTAAAAATATATTTGAATCTATCATCAAATTTCAAAAACAAAATAAAGTTTTGTAAACGCCTCTTCTTTTAGTTTTCAAAATTTAACTTATATTTTGAAAATATTTACAAAAACCTATATAACAAAACAAATGAACATATAGGTGAAAAGTAAAGTTTCTAAACACAAAATAAAATTATTATCAAATAAGATCTAAATTGCCAACATGAGTATAATTTAACTAGTTAATTCAAATAGTTTTATTAAAAAAAAAAATTAGTTAATGTAATCTCCAACCAAGAATTATTTCGAATCTCCACGTATACTAAAAATAAGAGACCTAAATTAACTTCGGATCAAGAAAACCTAAAACCCCAAGGGAGAGTTGAAGGGGGCCCACATGGTCCTAATTCTTTTGAATTGGCCAAATTTCCGTCATTGCAAAGGCGATTGCTTAAAAGAACAACAAATGGACGTTATTCCACGACGGTCCATTCTTTCTCTCACATATTTAGCTGTCTTGCACGTGCTTCCTTTCAACAGGTCTCAATACCAATTAAATTCACTCATTTAATACAGCCTAAATAATTTATTATTATATTTTTTAGTGGTTCAAATTAACCAAATTGATGATAGATGTTTTAACAGTTATATTAATGTTTAAATAATTTAATTCATCGACTTATTTATCGATAACTTTATATATTTATCTGTTATTTTTTTATATATTTATCTTTCTAAAAAACAACTTTAAATATTTAAATAAGAGTATAACCTATTTCGAATTTTAAGTTTTCCTTTTAAAAACAAACTTGTTTGATGGGTGATTGGAAAAACACTTTCTCTAAGTTTTGAAACTCTTTTAAAATGGTAAGTAACATGTTTTATATATATATATATATATATATTAAAAAAATTATTAGCTCATTTTTATATTGTTTTAAAAATAATGATAAATATGTGAAAATTTATTTTATTTTTCTAAACAAAGAAAAACCATAATTGTCGTAGATCAGCAAAGGGATTTTGTCGCCCACTATCTGCCAAGTACTACCTGTATTATATGGTAATACATTAATTCATAACGTAAAGTAAATAAAAAGCGAAATAACTCATATTTATTCTCTCGTACGTATATACCATTTAATTTCTATTTAAAGAATTTGATTTGATCCAAAATAATAATTTAAAGACAACTCTGTTGGACCAAATATTTCTTTTAAAAAATAACAGCTTTCCTCAAAACACGTCGTTTGTTCTTTTCTGTCTTTCTACTTTCAAAGTCTCTTCTAGAAAAATCAAACATTTCAAATTCTTTTTGTAATAATTTGGGTGTAAACAAATCTGTTTCCTTTTACAACCCATATAGGAAAGTAGAACATTTGAAGTAATAATAATAATAATTAATTTAACTTTCTTTTTAGATAAATTTAACTTATTTTTGGTTAAACAATGGGCGGAGGAAGATATCCATACTTAAACTTGAGAGCATTGCTCACTTTTAAAACTTTAAAGAATTTAAATCATATTTGATTATTAAAAAAAATTAAGCTAGTAGACCAATAACAAATTTTTTGTCACTGTGTCTATTTAATTCATACACTATAAAAAGTTTATTAATAGGTATGTAAAAAGTTTATAATCAATCTATTTTATTAATAAATATTACTTGAGTTGATTTCAAACGTGTATCTATTAATTTAATGTTTTCGTGTCACGAATTCAAGTATTTGATAGTACACTTTTTAAACTAATGAAGTTAACAATCGGGGTATCAATGAGTTGTGTTGGATTGAGTTGAGGTACTTTTTAGACCCAGTCCAATTGCTTGAGTCGTAAATTTATTCAATCCAAACAACCATTATGAGATAATAAACCCAACCTAACCAACCATAAAATATTTTGGTTGGATTATTCGGGTCATAATTTCAAAGTATTGTATAAAAAAAAAAGTAAACGATAATATCTTGACATTTATTTATATATTATCTAACACTAAATCAATACCCGTAAGTCGATAGTTATTTATAGGTGAAAAATAAGACTCGAGAAACTTTAAAATGTTGTGTTTATAAAAGTCATTATAGAAAAATTAATCCATACAGATTTATAAAAAGAAATAAAATTTAACCAAATTTAACTATATATAATTTATATGGTGAGTAAAAAAACACTTTTAAAATTATTAATAAGTTCGGATTTGTTCGGTTCAATCCAAACTTATTTTAAGTGAACACTTGAACCAACTTAACCCATATAATTTTTATTTATTTGAACTCAACCTAAATCATATAGGTTGAGTTGGTGATCGATTTGTTCGAGTCATCGAATTTTCTTAATTAATATAATAATTTATTAATCATAAAATTGAAAGTTGTAGCCTATTTTTGGTCGAATATATATATTTTAACTCATATTTTAACTCGTTCAATTAGAGATAAATAGACCGAATAGTAAAAATTCAAGAATAAAACTTATAATATGAATTCAGAAAAAGAATATTTAATTATGAGCAATAATAATAAGTGAAAATTTGTTTTCTATTGAAAGAAAAAGAAAAAAGAGAAATGGAGAGTCGGGGGACCACAGAAGTGGTGGGTGATGATGATCATCTGTTGTTCATCATGACGGCCTTCACTTTCTGTCCTCACTCACTCCTCACTCCTCACTGCGTTTCAACTTTCAACTTCCATTATTTTAGCTTTTTTTACTATAAATAATAAATAAAAATAATTGCTCATTATAAATTAGTGGATTTCATCATTCAAATTTCCACCCCAAAAAAACTATACACAAACAACCCTACAAAATACTAATCCGAGGAAAAAAATATGTACACATCATGTCTCCTTTGTCTCGAATTTCTCGACAAAAAATTAAAAGAAAAAACCAATTATTGAGAGATATTTATTCTTTTTGGAAATAATTCTTCTTTTTTACTGATCTGCCAAAATGATGATTAAATTATGTATATAATATGATTTTATTTATAGTATGTACAAAAAAGCTTAATTTTAAGTTTACTAACCATTGATGTATTATTTAAATAAATAAATAAACCACACACGTCGACTTCATTATTGGTGATATTAATCGAATTGATTAATTAGGGTTTTCATTAAAATTTCATATTCTCCTACTCCACCTAACTCATACATTTCTTAAACAAATTATTAATATTAGCTAATATTTTGTTGTTCCTTAGCAGTTAATTGTTATCTTATTAAAGAAATTTAATAGCTTATAGTACTTCATAATCAAATACTGCAAAAATGCATTTATCATGCAATTTAGGTCATAAAAATCGGATTTTTTTAAATGTTTAGTTGGAAGAAAATTCTTTTCAACAATACTATCCGCGACCAAAATAGTCAATACGAAGGAGCATAGCTTAGTTATAGTCTTCTTAAAGGTCCAAGAGTTCCAATGTTTATTAAGCTAAAAAAATCTAAATATACAAATCAACTATCAACCCAAAGTACAAACTACAAATCTAGGTACCATCCTATATATGATATATATTATTGTTTCACAAACAATTTAAATAAATCAAGCCAATAATACATATTATTGGCTAAATTATTTTATAACAAATAATAAATAAGAGACAAATTTCATACCCTACTGAATTATTATTATTAGAGATGGAGTGGTAGCTCAACAACCCTCCTCAACTCTCATCCCATCTCCGTGAAAAAAACTATCTTGTTAAATCTATATCTTCTCAATAAGTCATCCCCGGATCTCCATTAAAAAATTTTGAATTAAATCTTAGAATGTTTTCTTCTAATAACCATTAAATACATATTTGAAATCTAATAATAATTAATATGTCAATTACAGCTAAACTAATTCTAATAATCGTTGGTTATAGATTTAAAATTTAGATGATATGTCCAACCCGTCAGCCAAGTCTCTCCTGCTAGCTTATTGGTGAGAGGTAAATAATGAATAACGTGGGTTTTACAAATACAGAGAGAGAGAGAAATTGGTCCAAAGGGATTACAACTTGAGAGAGAGAGAGAGATCGGACCAAATTAAGCATTGCAAGTTGATAATTTCGTAAACTACAAACACAATGTCGGGAGGCGTCACATGTAACGATACAGCCCAAAACAATTATAGAGCCAAATAATACACAGAGATAGAGAGAGAGAGAGAGAGAGAGAGAGAGATTTGACTAATTTTGAACTTGAATTTGACGTAATTGACAAACAATTCCAGCGCAGTAAACCAACAGCAAAGAGAAAACGCATTGATCGATATTCATAATATTCATATATATTTCTTCCAGTTTTCTTCAGACACCTCACATGAATATTAGTCAGATAAGACGCGGATTAATTAAACTAATTAATCAAATCAACCACTTATCTCGTCGCATCCATCCGGCGGCGGCGGGGACCTCACCAGCAGATCGAAGGAACTTCTCGGCGTTCTCGGAAGGCACACGATCGACTCCGAGACGCCGCAGGTCCGTTTGCAGGAAGAGTACAGATTCAAGAACCCGAACCGGTCGCTCAAGCTTCTCGAAATCGCCTTGCCGCCATTGCTGCCGCCGCCGCCGCTCCAAAGCTCGGCGGCGGCGGAGGCGCGGTCCTTGGAGCACTCGACGAAGGCGTCAAAGAAAGGATCCCGCTGCGAGTTGTGGCGGTTCGATTTCCTCCATTCTTGAAATCCGAAACGCTTGGAGGAGGGCGGAGTGGTGGAATTGGGAGGCAGGGGGAGGAGAGAGGTCAGCGGGGAGGCGGAATCTTGCCGGAGCCTGGCCGGAGACTGTAATTTCTTGGGGATTCCGGGCAGATGCTCCCATGAGAAGGGAATGGCGCCGGAGAATGATCGGATCGGAGTGGCGGAGGAGAGGGGAGAGTCATCGGGAAAGTAGTAGGAGCCGCGGGAGGAGGAGGAGGAGGAGAGGGAGGAAGAAGAAGAAAAAGAATGAGTCCGGCGAGAAGATTGAAACATCGTCTCTTTCTCTGACTCTTCACATTCTCTTCTGAAAGAATTTGGGGATTCGCTTTCTGCGCGCACACACGCACCGCTACAAGTTTCAAAGAAATTCGTTTCTTATGTATATATATATGTAAATGTAAATTATTTTTAATATTTTATTATCTTTGTGAGTGATATTCGTATTATTGTGGAGAAAAGAAAACCCGTGGGAAGTGGAGAGATAAAGTTTCATTTAATAAGAAAAGGATCTCATTTTTGTGGTCTGGAACATGATTAAGTTTTGCAGTCTTTTTTTCTTCTAAAATAAGTTTCCTTTTCTTATTTTCTCTCCCAAACAATTTGTCAACGTAAGTTTATGTTTTAAGTTACAGCACCTAAACTCAGTTTAAATGTTCTGCCATTCATGTCTCTTCTTCCACTCCCCTAATGTGTCACAGAAAATTTTAAAAAAGAAAAATCACATGCATTAAATTTTAAAATTAAATAAATTTAAGGGTTTCGTAAATTCCACAACACGAAAACCGAATTTTGTATGAAAATTACGTGTCTTTAAGATATAAGGTCTAAAAAATGAATTAGATATTGAGATTCGAAGCCCAATCATGATTTAAACTCAATTAATATTTAAAATTTCCGTCAATTCAAACAGTTAGGTGGAAAAGATGTTCATTACCTTAATTCAAATGGAAGATTCAATCTCGTGTAACCACAATTTATAAACTAAATATATAATAATAATAATAACAACAACTTAAAATTGTATTCCGCGCATCTCATATATTTGATGTCATTTAATATATACAATTAAAAACATTAAATTAGTTACTTAAAAAACCAAAGATGGCTAATAAAAGATTTGAATCTAATATTTAATTCTTTACACCCAATCGACATTTTTGTCTCTCAGTTTTTTTTAGGTACAACATTTTTATCAATCAGTTAAACTAAAAGAAATCCCGAGTAATTGTTTGTGACATTAAATACCGAAAGCGAAATTTGGCCACTAACCCAAAATCCACGTGTCGATTGGCAATTGGCTGATGGACCACGATTACCGCCTGGCCTGTAACGCTACCTGAACCCGACCAAGGAAATGCTATTCAATTACTTTTTATTTTTTCCATTAAAAGAAAAAAGAGATTTTCTAAATACAGAGGTCAAAAGGTTTCATTGAGATCGAGAATTCTGAAAAAAGAAAAAGAAAAAAAAAAAGAGTCGCAGAGGCAGACGCAGATCCGCATCGATCATGTGGTTAAGCCATGGTTTTCTGGCCCTAGCTTCCGGTAACAGTGCCCTTCTATCGAGGCTCGGCTCAGCCGGTAGCCGGTCGGCAGCCACCTCTCTACGAAACGTCTGAAGATTCTGCAAATCGTGCCCTCGCTCGCTAGCTCATGGCGGCTTCGAGGAATCTGGCCATACGAGACGAAGAGAGGGCCTCGGAGGACTCTCCGGCGGCGAAGAAATCTAAATCCGAGAGATATCCTCTAACGCGCTGGGGAGTGGCGGTGGCTCTCGGCGGTTTTTTGGTCTTCTCCGCCTTGCTCTTCTGCATTTACCGCGCAATGCCGCCTCCCGACTACCATATGATTAAGCTGCCACGTTCCCTCGCCGATCTTCGTAGGCTCAAGTAGGTCCTTTTTTTTTTTCTTTTTTTTCTTTCCATAATTTTCATAAATTTTGAAAACATATTAAGTAATTTAAATTTATTTAACTCACCCGACTTAAAAACTTCCTTTGGAATAGCTGACATTGCTTCCTTATTCATTTCATGTTAACAAATCGTGATACGTTACTCATTTTATACTGGTATTTCTCGTGAATTGCATTAATATCTGAGTACCATTGCATTAGAGGAGATGCAGAGTGTGAGATAGAAAAGAGTGAAGGAACTAGAGTACAAGTTCGAAGCTATCTGTAGAAGGAAAAGACATTGTTGAGGCTAAGAGTTGCTCTGTTGTTTTGTTCAACTAAACTTATCAAGTCACCCGAAGTTGACCCGAAAAATCAAAGGGACTTTGGGATTAAAACTTCCAATCACCACCTAGGCTAGGATATTAGAATTTAGTCAGAAATTTGTCCTAATCGGAGTACGTATAAGCCATGGTATTAAAAAAAGAAAAAGTCTAAATATATTTGGTGGTTTTGATGGCCAGCAATTCAAGAGATGTCTTTGGAGAGCTAGGCGACTAATGAAGAAGAGGAGATGAAGCTTTCAGAAATGACTAATGTAAAAATTGGATGGAGACATAATAACTTTCAGATAGGACACTGTATAGCTTACACTATAGTCCGAAAAACACGATATTAGGTGACTGTCTGAAATGAATCCCCTGTTAGCAAGCTAAGTCAGAATTAGAGTCTATAATCAGTCTTTTTCAACTAATTCAACCCATTTCTCACCACCAACCCCACACCCAAAAAAATAATAAATAAAAAGGAAGAAAAAAAGAAGCTGCTGCTGCTATATATTTTATTTCATGGTGATGTGTTCTTGTTGTTTCTCAATATGTGTTGACTTTGATATTTGGTGGGTTCCACTTCCATTTGATAGTTTGATTGCCAATTGGCATAGCAAAATTTAGACAGATTATGCCTATCCATCCAAGATGCATTTGTCTTTTAAATTTGTGAACCAGAGATCATCTTGGAAGCTACGCCAAGGGTCACCCTGCACAGTTCATCCTGGGTTATTGCTCCACCTACATATTTATGCAAACTTTTATGATCCCTGGAACAGTTTTCTTGTCATTGTTGGCTGGAGCTCTTTTTGGAGTTGTTAGAGGAATTATACTAGTCGTTTTCAATGCTACGGCCGGAGCTACTTCTTGTTTCTTTCTTTCCAAGTTAATTGGCAGACCTATAGTTAGTTGGATGTGGCCTGAAAAATTGAAACTCTTCCAGTCAGAGGTAATCCCATTCCATCCTTGGTCCTTAATGTCGAGTGATTTTCACTGCTCTTACCTCTGAATGTGCATGTGGTTCCAGATAGCAAAGCAGAGAGAGAAGCTGCTTAATTACATGATTTTTCTGAGGATAACGCCTACACTACCCAACATTTTTATTAACTTGGCATCACCTATTGTCGATATACCATTTCATGTTTTCTTCTTGGCTACGCTGATCGGTCTTGTTCCATCATCTTATATTATGGTCAGGGTAAGTTTTTCAAATCACTCTAGACTCTAGACTATGCTTTTACATTGTTCAAAAATTTTGCTTTTGCCTAGATCAATGCATTATTAACTCTAATTCTAGCTTTTGCACAAGCATGTACTTTCTATATGTACACTTGTGTTTTAATGCCATAATGACTATGACTTCAATTCACTATAATTATGAAAATGGTTTTCTATTTCTTTCATGGGATTCCCTTTATGGCACATGAAGATTTGATCTGCGTTTACGTTCCCAACTTCACAAAAATTTGAGTTTCTAATCCTCTCTTATTTCATCAGGCCGGTCTTGCTCTTGGGGATCTCAAGTCTGTCAAGGATTTGTATGATTTCAAAACTTTGACAGTACTCTTCTTCATCAGTTCTCTGTCCGTACTTCCCACCCTTTTAAAGAGAAAGCGAACATACGAATGAAGCGTACTAAATTCTAATTATTTAACCATGAGTTATCAGGATCTACCATCTACTGGAATCAAGGATAGGAGGATCTAAGTCTAAATTATGTCAATGTTTAATTACTGAATCTTCACTGAAGCTTATTCTTTTGGACTATGAGCATAATATTATTTTTTCATGACTTCTACCCAGAAGCAGCATAGCATAGAAATTCATAAAGTGGAAGTTTTTGGGTCTTTCTACAGAGTGTTGGTATCAACTTTGGAGATAATATTCAGATTTGACAGACGACACATATAACTGCTGCAATTGAAGAACTGTAACTGAAATTACAAAAGTGAAACTCACTGGTTATTATGCCATCTTCACCCCACTTCTCTCTACGGTTCTCTAACGGTGCAACTCGAGTTGGCTGTCTGGTACAACCTGTAGAACACCTGGTTGTTCTGCCGAGCGAAGCAGACAAATTTGTTTGGTCAGTCAGCTAATGAGTGAACAACCTAAAACAACATTGAGGCAATTATTGCCAGAACACAAAATGACAGATATAGGACTTTTCACCATCTCCATGGCAATTATTGAAGTATACATTGAATTAACAAACCAGATCCGATAATTCATAAATATCTTGTATTCGTTCATTTGAAACTGGATTTGAATCAACTACTAAGTTTATGAACATAAATACCAAAATTACGGAGAAATTTCTATGTCTATTAACAAAATAATACTAAACGGACGATGATAACTTGTTGGGGGTAACCCTTATTATATTGGCCATTTGTAACCACCATAACTTGCTAGCTAAATGCGTTAAAGGATTTAAAAGATCATTTTATTTGAACAAACTAATTGTCAAATCCTCTTTCATCGATGATTGCAAAGAATTAATGAAGTTTAAATTTTGAAGTATAATTCAACTTAAACTATTTCATAGCTATCACTTAAAAAAGACTTTGAGAAGAAGAATTTGAAAGAGGATCTAAGGAAAAAAACAAAGCAATATTAAAATGGTAATAGAAAAGATGAATCTTGAGCGTAAAGAGATAGAAGTAAAAGAATCAATCCAAGCTTCAAGCGTGGCTAATTGAAAACAGGCAAAATATAGGTTAAAAGCGTGGCTAATCCAAGCTTAAAAAAGACTTTTAGTTTTTGTATTTAATTATTCATGTAGATATAAATGTGTCACATGTACATGAAAATTAGTTGTTAGTTATAATAATTTAGGCACAAATGAAATGCCCAAAACTGCCTACAAAAAATAGTCATACAAGCATGAACGAAAGAAAAAAAAGATTCGTCGTTCATAAGCCACACAAAAGAGCAAGAGCATGAAGTATAGGAATCTCATTGATCGTCGATGCTCAGACCACGTATCTCACGAAGTTAGTCAATTCAGAGGATTTCAAAAAACACAAAACAGTAGAATTGACAAGAGGAAGATTTGAAAAGAAAAAAAAGATTTCCTGCTCGGCATGGGTTTAGGTTAAGGAAGCCAAAACCCCAAACGCCATGATACAATGGTTAATGCAGAAGATGCAAGCTATTCAAAGCTGAAGACATCGTCTGATCAGTCCACAACTCATGCATTTGAGTTGTGGAGAACATGAATCCCTAGATATCATCCTCGATCCATCAAACTTAATCAATTCAATTAACAAAATCGATTTCGAGAAACAGACAAGTGATATTAAACTTACGGGAAATTCGAGAAACCTGGTCGGGAGTGAGCTTTGCAGAGAATCCACGAGCAGCCGACTTGTAGCTGTAAATAAGCGCATCCTTCGCCGCCTCCTCACTGCAAATGGAAACCAGCGGCGCTCTTATTTTCCAATTTCGATTCCCTGATCTTCTCTTCGCATGGGGGGAGAGAGAGAGAGAGAGAGAGAGAGAGAGAGAGAGAGAGACGAACCTGCCGAGGACAGAGGCTAGGGTTCGGATGTGGAAGTGCTCGGGTTCCTCATCCGTTGGCGTTTCGGTGTAGACGATGTGAACTGCGGGCCGCGATGACGCAGAGGACGAGACCGTGGAAGCGGTGGCAGAAGTTTCATCAGCCTCAGCCATGGCAGCAGATATCGAAATGGCGAAGAAAGACACCAACAGAAGCAATAATGAAGATCGCAAGGCAGTACTTCGCATCGCGTATTTAATACGATAATCTCAATTGGAACAGTAACACAGAAGATAAACTTCATCGAGTCGTACGCCTGATTAGCATGAATTATTGAAATGGATCTTTCCTTTTTGGGAAGCACCGACAAATTTAACGTGACAAGAGATGAATGTGGCTTCGATCCTCTCGGATTTTGAATTTTGGCGATTAGCTCTCAGCAACGAATATCCAAGAGAACACCAGTCCGCGGACAAGTGCTGATTCTATAGCAATAACAAAATTCACAATACGACTTCAGCTAAACTTAAGGATAGGATACTAACTTATCTATTTTCTATTCTATAGAGAATGCTTAAAGCAAGTAGACATGCATAACTACAATTGTTTAATCAACATTCCAATTTTGAAGTCCAAATGGTATGCATCTTGTGCAGTTCTCTCAAGTCACTGGACTTCAAAGACATTTTGTAGAGCTCCCTGAGCCTTGAAGCTTCACCACATCTGTTGGGTGTCGTCTGGGGTTGAGATGCACAAGATTTGCTTGCACTTGTTGGAAGTGTCATTGCCACCATTTTCTTCAATAGCATTTGCAGATGGTTCCAAAATTTGGAATGAATATCGGGATGCTCGGTTTTCAGAGAATCTGCATCAGCATCGGATATGTGTCGTCCTCCGAGCATGCGAGAGAATGCCAATTCTAGCATCTGCAGAGGAGAAATAATTAGTTGCATGCAAATCAATAGTATGCCATGCGAGTGAATGGGTGCTTTAAAGACATGCAAAAACAAACTAGAGCTCGACATCAGAAGAGCAGACACTGAAACGAGTGGTCAGTGATATGACAGATCATTTACAGGAAAAAACTAATGAGTACCCAGAAAACCAAACAATTACAGTTCGAAAACTGGAAAGAAAGGCCTATATGAGACTCAATGTACAGAAATAAGAATATGGTGTATATGATGAATCTCTACAAGTTACAGAGGGATATGCTAAGGTTATGGCATGAAATATTAGAGAGAGAGTGAGTTCATACTGCGGTTGAGTGTAAAGAGCTCGACAAGCTTAATGAAAGAGCTGATCGTTCAACCAGAATGGTTAGGTACATAGAGGGATGTGTTTTAGGTCCATAAAACTCCACGGCTTTTTGCCAGTTCCTCTCAGCCAAGGAAGCATACTGTTTTACCCGTTGGGGAATGCTGTTATCATCTTTAGACAAGCTCTTTTTCCCGCCATCGGACTCTAAATACTTCAAAGAACAATTTTTTTGGTAACAAGCTAACTGAAAATAAGCATATGCAGCTTCCTGTTTACGTATGTCACCCAAAGATTCATATGTAGATAATGCCTCCCTAATGGCATCATTTGCTGAAATCTTATGCTTTTTCAATCCTTTCTTGGATCCTCTGTTATTAGAATTCCCATAAACTGACCCAATATCTTCCAATGTTTCAGTATCATGTACCTCGTTTATATCTAGCCTTGCTAAAAGCATACCAAGCCTCAGATACGTGTGAGCAAGCTGTGTGTAAACCTCAATCCTCAGGTTGCCAGGCACAGTAGCAGAATCTTCAGCAACTGTATTCAGTTCTTTGTTCGCGGCCCCATAATATCTTAGTGATTCGGTATATTCAAGTTCTGCAGTCTCCAATGCTTGGTAATATGCATTCTGTACAATTGCATGTGCTTTTAGATCTTCAATCTTCGACACTATCTCCTCAGCTAATGCTCGCCTCCCATGACCCAAATTACAGTTGATCAATATGATGTTTGTATGATCAGAAACAGCTCTAAATGCATCTATGGCATCTGCAAATGCTGTTTCAGCTTTTTTCAGCTCCTTCCTTTCAAGTCTCCATCGACCTAGTTCGTTGCAAACCCAACCCTTTTTCCTCATAACAGATTGCAGTTCCACGGACCCAGCTGGGAGTTGACCTAACGCCTTTTTAGCTTCCTTATAGCAGCTTAGGGCTGCAGTTAAATTGCATTCTGATCCTCCAGAGACAGAACCTCCAAGATACTTGAAAATCCCACCAGCTTTAACTTTCTGAGACTCCTTGGAATTCAAATGAGATTGAGAGGTCTCACTAAGAACATTACCGCAAGTCTCTACATTATCATCCACTTCTTCAGAATTATCCACACAGAATTTTGCCCCACAATTAACTGTTTTGCAAGTCTCTACTTGGATTCGGGCATCTCTTTTTGAGTCTAGATGTCTAGGGTTAGAGCCCATTCCATTCTTAATCTTTGGACAATTATAATCATGTTCTCGGTCTCCTGAAACTGAGTAGGCAGTACAAGACTTAAAATGCGTCTTTTTCCCATGCTTTCTGCTGTAGACTATTGAGTCTCCCCTACTACTACTAGCACTGCTTCCACTGTTTGCCCTATCACTCTGGCAGCTGCAATTTACCAAGGAGCAAGCACTGCAGTTCTTAAATTGCCCTAGTTTCTTCTTGAGCCTATTAACTTCTTTCACTACTTCAGACGACATCTTCAATTCTCTTGTGGAAAAGTTCTTTTCTGCTTTTTCAGAGGTTTCTCTACCATATATCGAGTGGAACTCCACATATACATCTCCAACTAATGTCCATGTCTTGGCCCAAAAGAGATAAGTGGAAGAATAATGATCTAAAGAAAATTCATCACAATGCAAATCTACTTCTTTCAGATCTTGATTGAATGATCTGAACTTTTTGTCTTTATCATTCAATTTATTCTGCAAAAGCGGGGTACCCACCATTGAGGAAATGAATCTGGTCTCTTCAAGTTCCTGGGGCATTGATCCATAAACAAGACATGCCAATTCTACAACTTTTAAAGCCTGATGCAGCTGGCCGTCCTCCTTATATGCTTGGGCAAGAGCCAAATATGACTCCCCAAGCAAAAGAACCAATTTCCATAATTTATGGTCCAATTTTGATTTTGGAAGCCATTCGCGAAGGTCACAGACTTCAATACAGTCAGCATCACCACATGCACAGACAGAGATATTAACAGCAGAAGGTAGACTATCGTGCACTGCACCAATATGGTCCACTATCTTTGGTTCCGAGCTTTGTAGCTGGCGCATCCATCTAAGAGACTTGATAGCTTGAGAAACATGATGTATTGCAGCTAACTTGGAAGATATTGGATCAGCAACAGTTTGAACTACCTGTGGGGCAGTAGGAGATACTTTACAAACTGCAAAGCTTTCCTCGTCTTCGGAATTTTCTGCAGCCACCAATGGTTCTATCCCTTGTGGATCTCTCAAGGGTATCAGCTTCCTTGGAGAAGGTACATGGGCCTCTGATGTTATTAATGAAGAAGCTTCCGACGACAAATTTTGATGACAAGGATCAACGTCCCCAAGTTTGTCTCCTCCAACAAGAGAGGAGGAATCTTCATACTTGCCCGTTTCTGATATACTGCTTAAAAAGTCCAAGGACTCTTCTTCTTCAGCATCCATAACTTCAACTTCACATCCTAGTGGAAGAGAATCCAATGTTAAATCCAACTCTTCGTCATAGTTTAAAATGAGCCTTGCAAACTGTTCATGAGCAAATGCACGTACCACCTGCTCAGCACAGCCTTGATTGTCAGTTATCTAAATATTCAAGTAAAACTTGTCCACAAAATGCAAAAAGATGCAATCCTAAGGAAATGTTAGAAACAATATCATTACCAGGTGATCAGGCTCATCGAGAAAATCTAAACACTTCTTAAAGAACCTCGCACATTTGGCCTTATTAGATGGATTCTGCAAAAGAGACAACCACAATTGCAACAACCAACTATTTCCAAGATGCAAAAAGAGGAGATAGAAGTAAGAGCCTTCCTCACCATAGAAAGTGAAAGTCGGTGAGCTATACGGTAGAGGAGTGTGCCAAACGAAAATAAGGAGTCGCATCTCCCTCTATACAGCAATGAGGGTAAGGAATTCGAGCTATCATCAAAATCACTTGAAGAATGGTTCTTAGGAATTAGAGAAAGATCAAAAAGCTGAATCCCATCTTCACCCGCACCTTTATAAAGCTGCAAATATTTGATGTTAAGTATACGAATGAGGTTGACTGGCCACCCAGAATTAACTTATGATTTAGGTATGGGGGAAAACTGTAACATTACCCAATAAGCCCCAGGATCTTGCTTGCAGTTTTCTTGGAGAAATCTCAAGACAGAAAGGCCATTTTGTTGTACCACGTATGGATGAAAAGCAGGAGTACCATCATCGGAGACCCCTTTTAATAGGAAGATATCATCTGTTTTCAGAAGCTCGTAACCCTGAACAACACCATTTTCATGATAACAAATGGCCAATTCAGGCACACTTGCCATGACATTATCAAGCCAAGCTTCAAGCCAAGTTAGTGGAGTGACCTGGAAAAAAAAAAGTGTTAACATAATAATAATCATTAAACTCGGTAAATCTTCACGACTATGTCCCACCTGTCTGGTAATATCCCACAAATGCAAACTCACAGCAACATACTTTTCATTACTGAACAGAAGCAGGTCACTGCCAAGAAGCATACGGAAATTGTAAAATTGCCAAAAAAGAACACGCAGAAATTCTTCATCACCAACTCTTCTATGCTTTTCAGACTCTTTCACTGAGCACCTCGGTTTGCCACCAACTTCTGAAACCTTTTTGACAGGATCACGCTTCTTATTTCTCTTGCCCTTCTTACATCCCCAGAAGAAGGCGTCTTGCTTAACTTCTTTATATTGGGCACAAGAATTAAAGTCTTTTTGTGAAACACCATCAGTCTGCTCCAGGACCTGAGACGTACTTCCTCCAGGGAGAACGGAAGACTTAGATTGCTCCTCTGTTGTGGCATGATGAGTTGGAGGACAATCACAAGCCTCCATTCTAACCGAATGCATTGCAAAATTCAAAAATAAAGATTGTTCTGCACACTTTGCTTGATTTTTATGCCTCCTAACAAGCTTTTCTCCCTCCTCCACATCAGGCCTGCACTTCCACCAAGAAGATCAAGGAAAATCTGATATCATAATTACATTTTCCATGACATCTAACAACCATGTAAAAGAAAGTATGCCTGGAACTTTAACTGCAACTAGGAGACATCCAAGCACATACCCAGTATTCAGAACAAGAGCTTGTCCAATGCGATAAACAGCAATGGATAATCGGGCCTTTGAATAAGGCATTTTAAAGATCTGCTTAAGAATGTCAGCTGGAGCAATCACATCTATTTCATCTCCATAATCAACCAAACCAGATACAGCAAGAGCCTCAGATTTTCTGGTAAGATTTGAAGTAACAGCACCCCCATCCCAAGTTAAATCTGAAACATGTGAATGCTAGTGTCATCCAAGTGATACCGAAGCTTTTAGAAAGCAAAATTACAATGTTGCAGAAGCATTAACTACCTCAAGTGAGATCTTAAAAGTTATAAAGGACTGTTTCCCAGTATAATAGAACAGAAACTCCAACAAAATAAAAGTCTGCAGACTTTCAATTGTGATCTCTGCAGACTTTCAATTGTAATCTTTGGCATACGTTAACTATAAACATAACTTTTTTATTTAAAAAAAATGAGAAATAGGATACCTCTCCCATTACAGAGGCATCCAACGCTCTAATCTAGATCAACCAGGGAAATAAGATCTCCGTTCTCCCTTGAATTCTATTCGCCTTTAATGTTCTAGATTCCATGCATTATTATGCATCATGATGGAGATAATGACTTAAGACCCGGAGTAAATGATATTTGGAACAAGGAAGTCAGTCAGTATACGAAAGAATTGCAATTTCTGTGCAATAAGAAGCAAATAGTTCTTTAAGTCAAATGCATTCCTTCCAAATCAAGCTTATAATTGTATTTTGGTTCATTGACAAGAGACAGTCAACAGGAGGAGAATGGAATAGTACGTATAGCAATAACGTTGCCATTAAAGTTGCATCTGAGCGCATGCTTATCACTTTAGAATTGCATAGAGCTATAGTATATCATATCAAACTAAAAAGATATCCCGAGTCAACAAGATAAGCTCATTTATTTCTGTCACATGCCAGATCGTTAAACCACAAGGCTTAAAAGTTATACTCTAGCAATGCGCTATATCAGCAAAATTACAAGCACTATAGATAAATGGCAGAAACGAACCTCCAGCGACCTTCGACTGGAGTGCCCCAATTGGGAGAATCTTCTCGTGGGAATTAGAAGGAAGTGGAGGCAAATTGAGATCTGTCTCAGTCGGAAGCACTCGATACCGTGGAGCTGACACCCTTCCACAAACAAAATCAACCACACAAACACATAAAGACAAGTTCATTCTAAAATTCAAAAAAGACGAAAATACTTCACATGATCGTGATTAGAAACAGAATAACAAATCAGCAACAGACAGAAACGAGGGAAAGAGGAGGTTCAATACGTTTGGCGCGAAGGAACCAGAGCAGAATGGAAGGCGTGAAAATCTTTATCAGTGGGAACGGGGATAGAGCCGCAGAGAAAACCACCGGCGGGTTTTGGTCTCACTATTTCCAGTTTTCCAACACATTGAACCTCTCGCGAGGAACCCTCAGAAGACGCCGGCGACGCCTCCATGGATGTAATATAACGCCACCGCCTTTAGGATTAGGAACCCTCAGGTCCGGGGAGTCTCTGAGTTTACCGACCTGTCGGTTCTGGGATTCCGGCGTCTCTCCGTCCGTCGATTAGCCAAATTCGAAGCCGGAGGCCACGTCTTTCGGCTGTTTGCCTCTGTAAGTGCAAAATTGATTAAGTAGTTTATTTTTAATATAAAAGTTTTGAAATATATAATTTTTTTTTTCGAGCTAGGGATGGGATTCGAACCCAAGACTTTTAGTGAGAGATAAATCACTTCAACTATACTCTTTGGCATATAATTTTGTATTTTTGTTCTTGGTCGTGTGTGTGTGTATATATAATCGTATTTAATCTTCCAGGAGTTTCGATTTTCTTTATAGAAAATCTCAAACTTCGTGTAAAAGGAATTGGAAAATGGGAAGTGCATCCTCCACCCACCCATATAAGTCTTTGATGTATAATTTTGTTTCCAATCTTTTTTATTTTACCGCCAACCTAAATATAATTTTTTAGTTAACGTATATATACAGTTTTTTTCCCAACACATTTATTTTATATTTAATAGGAGTGTAATTTAGATATAAAAAAATTTATAATTTAATTGATTCAAATATACATTAACAAAAAGTTTGACGTTGAAATTTTAATCTCATGCATTATTGAACTAAAAATAATATTTATTTTATCCAACAAGGACCATCTCTAACATAACTAAAAATAACAGATAATAACATAGATAATATATGAGGATAAGGACCTTTTGATCAAAGTACGTTAACCATTTGAGCTATATTCGGTTTGGCATAAATAATGGTTAATACTATGGCTAATTAATAATTTATATATATACATATAATACATACACACACGGCGCAGATGCTCACGTGAACGGAAGAAGGCTAGATGAACCTTCAGATTATAGATGGGCCAGAGACAGGCCCAGTGTTAGATCACATTTTTGGGCATTGTACATGACTAAAAGGAAATGGGCCATGAACAATATAATAGGCCCAATATTTTGGGCCCATCAGCATAACTAAAAACAAGTGGGCCCTGAGCTGATTGGTTAAATCACAACTTTATTTATCTATCATCATCATATATATAAAAATAATATTGAACTATGGTAACAGCGTATACCGCTGTTTAAAAAAGGTAATTTTAGAAAATGCCAAACAAATTATAAATTTGAAGAGTGGTTAGCTTAAAAATAGGAGAATCTCCACATTTTTTTGTACGAAACTACCCTTCTTTAAAAAATATTTTCTACTAATTTTTTTCCAACCTACTTTTATTGGAGAATCTATAAAAAATATATATATAGAAAAAAACATTTATTAAATTAAAATCTAAAAGAAAATATAAACAATGGAACTGTTTTTTATTAAATGACACTAAAAAAATTATTTAAAAAATATATAATAAATCTTAATAAAAAGATAAAATTAGAAATAGATCACCTTAGATGATGTGTAAGCAATAGTATTTAGAATAGAATGGCAGTATTTTATTTTATTTTTATTTTTATTCATTAAGAATATGTATATATTGTACATGAAAACGAAATTTGCCAAATCCAATATAAAAGATAGACAGAGATTAATATATCCAAAGGAAAGAATCCAAACTTGAATAAATGAAAAATGCCAAAACCATTACAGCTAGCAATTGCTTTGCATTGCCATTTCATACTCTTTTGAAAGATACTTCTTCCTCAAAAATCTCCAGTGAAATCTAACTTATTTTCTGAAAAATGTAATACAAATAATTGAAAGACTATTAATATAATACAAATCTCATCTTTAATGGATTATTAAACTCTCACTTTTGTGTCTAACAAATCTCTAAGCATAGGGACCTATTAAACACAAAATTAAAAGCTCAATCATTTATGAAACAAAATTTAAAGTTCAGGACATATTAAACCCACATTAAAAGTTTAAGAATCTATTAAACGTTTTTTTAAAATTCGAAGTTCTATTAGACACAACCCTCGTTGTTGAAGGCCAAAATTGTAATTTAAGCTGATAAAAGAAAACAGTAGAAACTTCTAATATTGATAGTGTTAAATGTATATGGTAGGAGAGTGGTCCACTCTTTTGGATCCATGTAAAGAATCTTCAAACACAGCTGTTATTTAAAGCCAATATATATTTATAAGATACTGACATCAATATATGGCTCTATCTAACACCTCCATCATTACAAATTGGAAGAACTTCAATCCCTCTACCTATATTACATTTTTAATATCAATTCATATTACATTGTTTCTTCTTAGATTATTTAGTCCTTCAAAGTTTTAACCAAATTTCATGCATTTCCTTGAAGATGTTCTTTTAAGCCACGTCACTTTGTGAACAAGCCTATGATTTAACTTTTGATCTCATGCGTGTGAATTCTGAAAAGTGATACAACTGGTGTAAAGTTAAAAGGAACAAATTCTTACCTTTTGATTGGACAATACAAAAAATAGAGAGATCAAATTATCTATACGGTTCTATATTATAGTTAGCGAAAAAGTAACACTTAAAATCAAATGTAAAATTGAGATGCTAAACTGTATATTTTAGAGTACTTTCTTATTTCTACTGTCCATCACTAAAAATCTTTCGGTCTCCTACTTGAGTGGCGAGCAGCATAGTCTTAAGTCAACAAGGAAGTATTGCAATGAACTTTTAGGACTAAAAATGTAAATTAATTTCTTTATCTAAAGATAAATCAAATAAAAGAGGGCAATATATATATAAATACATGGACGAAGGCATTGCACCCCACCTTCACATCTTAGCAGAGGCATTATTTGGGCATATCTTCTTCACAAATGAAGCCAATCAGTTTCCTTTTCATTCTCCTTCTCCTTCTATTTCTCCTCCAGGTATTGTATACATATTACATATGATTTTAGATTTCACCTTTTTTTTTTCAGTAACCAAAATTAACAAGTTACATTTAATGTTAATTTTTCTTTTTCTTTCTGCATTTTCTTCTTTTCTATTGTATTGCTGCAGGCTTTATCAGAGGCTTCTCCCTCTTACAGTACTGTGAGTGTCCTCCATATATCCTCTCTCTTCAAGTATTGGAATTGGGAAATTTTGGGATTTTATTGGATTCGCTAATGCTGTTGAAAATAACTGCTTAAAAACTTAAACTTGTCTCTAGTATTGATTTAAAACTCATGTGCAAGAGAAATATTGAGCATAAGTTCGAGGGATGTTTGGTGCTCGTGGTTATAATAAAGCTATTTAAATTGTGCATAGTTTATGTAATTCATGTTCAATATGTGAATAACCAATCTAGTGAAACACTATAAAAATTAACGTTTTTTCTGATGCTACAAAATGTCAAGGAAAATTTTGAAAATAGTCGAGAGAGATATTTTGTCTGACTACTTTCTGTACGTCGGGAAAGCTTATAATTCTTGTAGTGAAATATGAATATTGACCTTGGATTCAGGTGAATAAAGGGAGTAACAGGGTAGCTGTGGACAAAAAACATCAGCAAAGTCCAAAAATAAGTAAGTCGCCATGCAAGTTTCCAATATAATGATAAAATTGAAGAAAAATGTTAAAGAAAAGTGATTAATGGTTGAATTTGGTTGGATTATTAGATTGCAAGTATGCGTGCTCAAGGCGATGCATGAAGGCGTCGAGAAAGAAAATATGTATGCGCGCGTGTGGAAGTTGCTGCAGCCGATGCCACTGCGTCCCGCCCGGCACGTACGGCAACCACCAGCTCTGCCCTTGCTATGCTCGCCTCAAGACACACGCCAACAAGCCCAAGTGCCCCTAAATTAAATACACACTCCAATTTCACATAATACTATGGATCCACTGTGGACTCATTCTGCACTATTTTCATTTATGTTAAATACTGTTAAAAATTCAGTTACTGTTGTGATCCAATTGGTACCCATTTTAGTATTATAGGGTATTGACGCAGTAGCAAGATCCAAATTCGAGCCCTCCTGTGTTGAGAAATAAAAAAAGGAGGAGAATTTGTATCCATTTAAATTTAAGATGAAATGTATGTCATATCCTTTACGTATTATAAAATTACATGTTGGGTGATTTTTCACTCGAAACAAATTCACGTTGGACCACACATGGATGGAATACCAACGATAGAATAAAGGACATAGGCTTCAACTTTTTTTTTTTTTTTGCCTTTTTTCTATGACTGAGATAATCATAAAAATTAGTAATTTACCTATACTTACAGTTGGTATAATCAGTTCTACATCAACCGTGTAATTTTATCCAAGATAATATAACGTAAATCCATATTGTAAGAGCTATTAAATTTAAATTGAATTTATATGATCCCGTTTCTTCCGTATATTAGATATCGTAAACTAAATTAATATTTGAGTCCACGAGAAAGTCCGATGCGGAGGGCAAAAGGGTAAATTCAGGGGCATTTGAGCTTGCCGTCGTGGGTGGTCATGTTGGCGTAGCAAGGGCAGAGGTCACGGTGGCCGGAAGTTCCCGGCGGCACGCAGTGGCATCTGCTGCAGCACGTCTTGCATGCTCTTATGCAAATCTTCTGCCTTGAAGCCTTGCTGCATCGATACTCGCATTTTCCTTTACAGTCTTCTTAATACAATATTCACACCATCCCATCCTCTTAATATTCTTTAACCAATATTCAAATAAAATAAGAATAAAGCAGAACTATAAAATAAAAAAAGCATACCTATCTTTTGGGAATATTCAACCATAGATAGAGACCCACCATAGCTCTGCATCTAAGAAAGAAAAGAACAAGAAGATGAAGAAAAAGAGAATAATAGCACAAATAAATATTTAAACATTAAGAAATTTGATTTATAATATTCTTTTATTGAAGAGAAAACATACATTGTGCATGAATACAAGCAAAAAAAAGATTGCCAAGAATTTTGTTGCATTGAGAGCACCCATTAGAGAGAGAGAGAGAGAGAGAGAGAGAGAATATGTGCTAAATAAAATGGGGTTGAAGGGCAGTGGGTGTGGTTTTATATAGCAGAGAGAAGGGGGAGGAAAAGAGAGGTTACTTTCTCAAGTCATGAAGATGTTGCTTTTGCACAAAACTTGGATGGAATGATAGCATTTCTTTAATGTATCCAAGTATAAATGTTATATATGCATAAGAATACTATTACTCTAATAATACTTTTCCATTAAAAAAAAGCGCAAAAGGGTATACGAAGAATATTACATCTATTTTGCCAATCTGAGTAGAGCTCAACTGGTTAAGGCACTTATCTCAAACAAAAATGTCGTAAATTTGAACGTATTCAAAGAAGAAAAAGGGGAAAATATTACATCTATTTTAGTTCCGAATAAACTTGTAGTCATGCAAACTTTATGCAACAAGCCATTACCTATCAAACTTAATTAGAAGTTGCGTAGTTGTTTTGAGAAACAACTTGTTGTGGGTTGTTTTGGAGGGCAAACTTCATATACTTCAGAACAAAAAGTCAGTACAGATATGTTACAAATACATATTTTTTTACAAAGTTATCTGTTCTTTTATGATTTTTTAGTTTAATTTCATGGATGATGGTTTATACAACATTTTTCCAAAATCTTTGACTCTTGGATTTTTATTTCAAATGGAGAATAACCTTAACGTTTACAAGTTACACAAAGAAACTCGTCAGTAATGTTTAACATTTTCTTTCTAGAAGTTCGGGAAACTTTTTCTTCAAAAAACTAATGAAGGAAAAAATAATAAAGAAAAGGTAGCTTCAATTTCCATAAAATATTCTTAACAGTTTAAGGCACCAGATAAAACTTTGGCAATTTTATGTTAAAAGAATATACAAATGAGAGAGGGAGAAAACAAGGTATGCATGCATCTATGAACATTAAAACATTGATCCAAGTAACTGACAAATGATAATTCAGACATGATTTTCTAAGATATTCAATAGGTAGCTTCATATGTACAAATTAAGATTTTTAGAAAAAATTCTGGAAAAGAAAATGTACCTAGAATCGAACCCAGCATCTGGTGCATTTCGCCATGCAGTCTCCTTTACAATCAACATTGTAGCCCAATACCTTGGGATTACGCAGAAGAAGGTTCCTGAGTGATTTGCCTTGAATTCCCCACTCCTTGTCCAACAATTGTATATTGGTTTTCAGCTCCTGCTCAAGATTGCATCCAAGAACTTCTGGGAATTTTTTTAGAAGCTTACAGAGATCATCATCAGAAAGGCCGAGTGTCCTCAGATATTCCAGTATGTCATTTACAATTTCAATCTTTGGGACTTCCTTCTTTCTGTCTTCGCCCCAGTAGGGCGAATGAATGTGGCCGAACGCCTTTCCGAGCATCTTATCCTGCTCCTCAGCACTGAAGCTGAACATGGACAGAGCTTGTCGGCAAGCTTCCCATGTCTTCTTATCCTCATCACTTAATATCAAGCTTTCAACTTGAGCAGTTGAATGGATTTCCCACTTCCTGGGACAGGGACTATGTCTCCTCGCATCCTTTGTCACGTTCTTCCAAGGACGATTGGAGAAGCTCACGTTTGAACATGCACCATCTGGTTTGGCTGTCACAAAGCCAGGCTGCAACGAGAATTTGGAATAAAGTATAAAATCCTAAAAAAAGAATTTGTGAAATTAGTGCTTGAGCAATGCATAACAATAAGCTCCTGCAGTTCTCTCTGATGGGTCCATATTAATCCATGATATAAGGCAAAAAATTGCTTACTCACAGTAGAAAAGCAGAAGCGAGTTGCAGAATCAACTGTTGATATGGGAGACACCAATGCTTTTCCTAGCATCCCTGTACATTACTAAGAAACTGTCTAGTAAGAATGTGATTATCATATAAAACACAACTCATCTCACACAGCTCCTATTTATAATAAAATATTTCAATTGAATCAACAATTAATCCATTCAACTACGGAGAAGATCCAAGCGAGTTAATGCAACAAAGAGAAGTTTATTCTACAAAATTCAGAGTTTTGAACTTATGATTACCTCCCGAAATTAGAATTTCCAAAGCAGCCGTACTACCAGTAAAAGTTTATCGAAGAGCTGGTCAGATGAATTTTCATGCAAAATCGTGTTTCAGCCTAGTAAGATCGTCAACTTTGATCCAAGCTCTGTGTTCAAGAGGACAAAAATACTTTGATCAAGAAAGTCACATAAGAAATTGGAATAAAATACAATTCAACAAGTACCGCATGCATAAAAAGGACCCACCAAAAACTTAAAGACTTACAAGTGTGCCCCCAGATAGAAATAGCAAAAGGAGTTCCCATAAAAATATGTTAACTGATAGTGAAAGCATTCAAGTGCACGGAATTCTGAATTCCAAAATAAGAATGCTATCATAAAACTTAATAGATGTGCGGTGTGCCTATTTAGACAGATGGCTAACTAGGATCCCTTTCAAAGTCGGTTCCACAGGTAAGATCAGCGGCCATGCTCACAATAGAGCTTTCAAAAGAATTCGTTGTATGAAACATTTACTAAATGGAAGAATGAAGATGAAGCAAAAGATGGTTGAGATCCTCAGAAGCCTCTTAGAGGGCATTGATATGCAGTCATTGATTTATGGGACAGAGTTCAATCCCATTCATGTGCCATTCAAAACATAGACATCTCATTTCTACCAATCTTATTCATAAACTATGCTTCTTCTTTTTTTTTATATCCGTGAGTGTCGGGGTTAGCTGAATCAATCATCGATGTTTTCCACCAGCAATGAAGAAGTGGTTAGTCGTTCGGCTTATTTGGATGGCACCTACAATAACAGAAATCCCGAAAGCAAACAACCACTCAAGCTAGTGCTTAGGTAAAATGCTCCACAGCCAATTTCCGTCGATTTTGGAGTTTCATCAACACGTACACGCTTAGCAATTTCAAACAAACAAATATTTCTTCCTTCAGACTGCCAGTTGCTAAAACGTGGTCGATATAAAGATTTAGTTTATGGAGCTGCCAAACTAAAGGTAAGCAAAAGTCTCCCAAACAATGCACTAGAATCATGCAAAGATGCAATATGCACACTACGTTTTACGACAACATCTTGCAGCAAATTTTGCATCTAACATCCTCCTCCTCCAATAGAAAACGCCAATAAGGCAGTATCGCAATTCTATACAAAGTTGAACTTGATCATTATAAGAGGAACTCAGAACTAATATCTGGATATTGTAGTTAGTTGAATTGAATTGAGAACTTACAAGAAGCAGAAGCCATGAGGAGCTTAGTGAACGCGGAAAAGAAACAGTAAACTGCTTGAATCCAATCAAAAGTAGCTGAAATTTGAAGACTAATTGCTGGCACAGAGATTAAAGTCAGAAGTAGAGTTGAGATTGTGCAGGGGAACGGGAAATTGAAGAAGAAGGGTGAGCCCGCGGGAGTTGGGCGGATGCGGACCACGGATTCTCCTCTTGTCCTTTGCTTGCAGCCAATAGCCATGTTCGCGGTTCGCCCCCATCTCGATTATCGAACCGACCGCTCATTTCTTTTCCTTTTATTTATTTATTTCCACATTTTCTGTATTAATAATTTTTTTTTACTAAATTAGTGAAATTCTATTAAATTTTTGTTGTTCTAGTTTTCTAGAAATATAAGTAAAGATTTTCTTCATTAATTCGACTACTCCTTTTTTCTCTTTCATTGTTTGAGTTCAATAAATCTGGCTGATAGATATTTTGAGGTAGGGATGACAAAAATACCCGCATGTTTAATCTCCGTGGGTACTCCACCCGATCAGGTCGGGGATTCCCATCGAGACGGGGTCAAATCGGAGATTCCAATCGGGTGCCCTGATGGGGACAGGGAGGTCCTCGCCCCGTCCTCGACCCAACATGTTTAATATTTTATTAGTATGTATATTTTTATATATGATAAATTAATAATAATAATAATAATAATAATAATATTAATTTTTATAATATTTTATAATTGGTTTAAAAGGAAATTCAATACCTCCAATCCCGTAAAATATTAATAAATGGATACCCGCCCATTGGCATCTCTACTTTAAGGTTACTAATTAACTAAATTATATTTTAATTAACTAATAAACTCTAATCTTAACATAAATGTTTGTGGTTAATTTAAGTTAGTGATAATTATTATTACTATCATTCAAGAAAATGTTAAATGTGCATATATTTTTCAAATATCTTAGAATAAAGTTCAGAAAATTTTATATTTTTTTTTGGCAAAAGTTAATCATAAACTAATTTTAACACTGACGAAAATTATATTTTAACTAAATAAGAAACCGTTTTTTATATAGATAGCATATATATGGATGGTCAAAGCGGTTGTCATATCTACAAATTTATCACAAAAAGGAAAAAAAGAAGGAAAAAAGTATGAAGTAAATGAATTACATGTAGCAAAAATAATGTAACAATAACTAAAACAATATTTTGAAAGTTCAACTACCAAGTTTGGAATATATATGACAATTCAAAATCTAAATAGATATTTAAAAATTCAATAGGATATTTAAAACTAGTTGGATTAAAACTAGCAAATACAAAATCCCAATGATCTTTTTTTTTTAGTACAAAATCCCACTGATCTTTTTCTTTACTCATGTAATATTTTTATGTCAAATGTTTTTTTTTCGAGACAATGTAAAATGTTATAATCTCCTATTTAAAAGTTTAGTTATTTATTTTAATTAGTTATTGTTTGTCAATACTATTTTTTTAGGATGTCTGTTTATTAATATTAAGTAACTTGTTAAAATATATATTTTTTCAGTTAATGCAATTTTATTAATATAAATTAATTAATTTTCTTTAATTATTTTATTAATATAAACTAAGAATTTAAAATTAATTCATTATTATTAAATAACGGAACAATAAAATTGATTAATATTTTATATCTATAATCGGCTGTTCTATTAAAAAGCTATAACTGTCAAATAAAATAAATTTTATTTAGCAATTATTGGTCTTTCAATTAAAAATTCGATTAGAATATTATTCAACCAATACATTTTTAATAAATTAAAAATATGAATGATGTCCCTCAATAATTTAAACAGGTAAGATTTATATTCTTAATCAAGCAAACCATAACTTTTTTTTTTTTGAAGATAATCAGTGATCTTTATTCTAATTATTTATCATTCTTATTTTTAATAGGTATATTGTTCGTATCCATAGTTGTTGTAAACATTGATTCTGAACTCCGATTTTGAGTAAAAATTAGAATCCCATTGAAATGAGATATTTTAATTACTGGTATAAATGTTAAATTTAAATTTGTAGGCAGAATCCCATTGAAAAAAGAAAATCCAGGATTTCCCTTTTCTTTCGTAAATAAATCTTATATTCAAAATTTAGGGACTAATTTTGCCATATAATTACTATTTTTTGTGTGTGATTATTTAACGTAATTAAAAAAAAAAAAGAATTGAGCAGAAGCAGAACTCCCACAAGCTACTTGTCGATGAACAATATTGGAGTTGTGTGTGAGAGCTCGAAAGCATTTCAATTCAAAACAAACGACTTCCATCATCTCCCTCCTTCCATCTCTCTCTCTCATCCGCCATGGATAAACCAAACCAGTATTTAATTGTACAATTTGAAAGTCTCACTCTCTAATCATAATCTCAAATCTCAGATCTGTCGAGTTACTCGTGACAGTTCATTTCTCCTATTTCTTGTGATTTCCTTTGTCCTACCGAATTGGGCAAAATCAAATGAGCTTCTGCTATTTGTTTCTCGAGTAAGAGGAGCGCCGGATTACTGGGATTGGATGAATGAATATGTGAATGGCTCAGCATAGGCAGTATGGGACGGATAGATATGGACCACGGGCACATGACACGCTCCATTCAACCAACAATGGCGTTGCCGATCACGTTGCGGTGGGAATTCGTGGTGCGCCGCATAAGCAGGGTAGGGCTCGTAGGTCGGCTCGCTCCGATAAGGGCATAGGGATCTCCGTTGGGGCGATTATATTTGTTCTCTCGCTTGTTCTTGGCGTCACCGTCTTAGCTTATTACTATTTATCGAGAGACACCAAAGGTCAGTTTTACTTTCACCTCTTTGTTCTTTGAGTTTCTGTCGGCGAGAAAACATCGTAAGAAGCTAGGAAAAGAGCATGCAACACGCAGTTTGGATTTGGATTTCTCCGTTTGGTATCTGAGAATGTTATGGATGTAGAAATTCATTGCTTTTAGTTCAATAGGGTTAGTTCAATTTTTCATTAGAATTGATATAAGTCGGTTCTAACGCACGTGGCAAGCTTTCTATTTTTCACCTGACTCGAGTACCTATTGGTCACTTGGAAAGAATTATGTTCTATCCCTCCTAATCTAGACGTGTTTGTTGCAGATAATTCCTCAGTGAAATTATGAGGAATCCCGTTGTAATTCTTTTGAATAATGGTCTGTTTGTTTATCCACGTATTTTTGCTGCTGTTTGCATGGTTGGGTTGATTTCTTTTAATTTTCTGGTCACTGAAGTCCTTATGAAATCTAGGTAGCCTTTAACTGATTGATAATGAATTGATGCAGAAATTAGTAATCACAACGTCGAAGATGATGACTTCAAGAATGATCCTGATTTCCTTTCAAATGTTACTCGAACAGAGACAACCAAAGTCAGGTTCGGTAAAGGTTTAGTTGTGCATGGGCGTGATTCGAGGTATTGGGATGGGGATGATAGGAGAAGGGACGAAGATTACAACGAGGATGCAGTGAAACACGTGGCTACTACCGATAAGGTTACTGAAAAGGGTGATGTTCCGGCAAAATTGAGTGAGGGCCATGGTGTATCATCTATTGAACATTCTCATAACAGTTTAGATAGGAAAGACATTGGACTATATAATGAAGCTGGGCGAAAGGAGTTGAGGAAGTATGAAGCTGAATATGAGGCTTCAATGAACACTTCAGGTCAATTGGGAAAAGAAGGAAATGAAGATGACCAGGTAGCTGACGAAGATGATCTGGAAAATTGGAATGACGGTATTGATACAGATGATGAATATGGAAATGGAAGTGATAGTCAACATCCTATTATGGAAGAAGACAATGATACAGAACGTGAGAAAGGGGACCATTCTGATGCAACAAGTTTGACACAGGAAGATTCTGAGAAATCATTTAATGTTGTTGAGACAGGAAAATCCCACAATGATGACCATGGTCAATTCCTTAATGTACTTGATGGAGAAACCAATTATCAGCATGATGATGAGAATGTTGGGGCTTCCAACCATTCATTTGACGAGGATTATACGTCAAGTTCCCAAAATTCTGATAAGGTTAATAAAACTTCCAATCATGTTAGTGTCACTATTGGTCACGGCCACCATTCAAAGAGGTCAAAAGTGGATCCGAGAAAGAAGCCAAAGCATCGAAAATTTTCAGGTACTGACATACTTCTATCTGATAAATGAGACGGTTCAATGGATCATATGTAAAACAGCTTCTTTCTAGATTTGGAGTTCATTACTACGGCATCATGGTGCCTTACTTATAGGAGATTTATTTGTAATTACAGTCTAGCTTCTCTTTCCCGGGATTGGCAAGCTATAATGTGGTAGTTTTTTTTGGGAGGGTGGGGGCGCCTCGCCTGTAGGTTGTTCTCTCTTTTTTGTGGTTCTTATATATTCTCTTCTATTTCTTATAAAAAAAATTAAAAATAAAAATAAGATTTGGAGTTCATTTAACTCTGTCTATGAATCTTGGAACTTGGAAGGTTTCTGGACTAGTAATCTTGATTTATATTAAGCTTAATTTTAGTATTATGTATTGATGACTGGAATACGTCATTTTCCATTTTTAATTGTTTGATAGGATTCCAATAAAATGTTATGTAAAATGATATTCTTAAATCCTAATTGGCAGGTGCATCATGTGAGATGAAGTTCTTGAACTCTACCGCACAAATTATTGAACCTTTAGTAAGTAAAAAATTTGTTAGATTCACTTTGCAATACACCGAGACAGAGGAAGAGCCAAGCAATCAAGAAAAATGGGTGCCTAGATTTTCAGGGCATCAGACTTTGCAAGAACGAGAGACATCATTTTATGCGCAGGATCAAAAGATAAATTGTGGCTTTGTTAGAGGTCCTAAAAGTTTTTCAAGTACAGGTTTTGATCTGACAGAAGATGATTCCAGCTATATCAGTAGATGCCACATTGCTGTGGTCTCCTGTATATTTGGGAATTCAGATCACCTGAGATCACCTACTGGGAAAGCGGTATATTATTTCTTTAATTTGTAGTTAGGAACTTCAAGTAGCACTTTGCATTTAATTTTTAATTATACATCCAACCTACAGAGGTGTTAAAATGTAAAGTGACAGATCATAGGTTCTGATTTTACAATGTACTTTTCCTCCTGTCTTCAGAAGTAGAATTTCTGCTTATTCATGATCAAACTGTTGTCCTTTGTATGATGGTCTCATGTTATATTTGTCATTGGTCACACATCATAGAACTGGAAAGTCATGACATTTAACCGATTTTAAGGAAACTTGGTGATTATTTTTTTAGATAGAATTTGAGATGAGTATTCACTCTTTCTGAGATTTCAGCTTGATCAAGGTTTACTCGATAATCTCTTTATTTACATCTCCCATGTTCTGCTTCTTCTGTGCACGTGAACTTCTTTCCCTTGTCTTTCTCGTGTATGTGTGTAAGTCAAAGATGTATGAGCATGGACTCCTAATAATCTCATATTATTTATGAACACATCATACTTTTCTATTAAATGGTAGACGTTAGTTCAGAGTTTGCCTTTGTTTCAGGTTACTCGTTTTTCAAGGAAAAATGTCTGCTTTGTTATGTTTATGGATGAAGTTACCTTGGAGACTCTTTCATCAGAAGGTCAAACAGTTGATAGAATGGGTTTTATTGGCCTATGGAAGATTGTTGTGGTAAAAAATTTACCATACACTGATATGAGAAGAGTTGGGAAAATACCAAAATTATTGCCACATCGAATTTTTCCTTCTGCAAGGTGAGAATGCAACAATGTTTGAACTTGGTACCCTTCTTTTTTTCCCCTCTTTTTGTTTGTTTTTTGGTGGTAAGAAACAATTTCCTTGATAAATGAAATTTACACCCCTGGAACTTTCCAGCGTAGTACTCTTATCTTTCCATTCTCTCTTAGAGATTAATCATCTTATCTTTCCATTTCAGATTCCCTGTAGGTTGTTGGTCCGAATGTGCTTCAAATTTGTGATTTTATTTTTAGTATCGAATATTCTTGTGTAATCATGAACTCCGAGAAATATATTATCCTATTGCTTATTAAATGGTTATTTTGTGCGAACAAGTTTCAACACTTGTATCTAATCTTTTGCAAACTTTTCTTAGGTATTCAATCTGGTTGGATAGCAAGCTACGACTTCAATATGACCCTGTGCTCATTTTGGAATACTTCTTGTGGCGAAGAGGTTATGAATTTGCAATTTCGAACCACTACGACAGACATTGTGTATGGGAAGAGGTGGCTCAGAATAAGAGATTAAACAAGTACAACCATAGTATCATAGATCAACAATTTGCATTTTACCAGGCTGATGGATTGAAGAGGTTTAATGCATCAGACACAAACAAGCTTCTTCCCAGCAGTATGTTGTCTAAACTTTTCTTTTTTGGGGTAATTTGCACGTTATTGTTGATCCCTGTTGCTCCATACTCATTTCATTGACTTTGAACTTTCTTTTCTGCTGACAAATGCAGATGTGCCTGAAGGATCTTTCATCATTAGGGCCCACACTCCAATGTCTAATCTGTTCTCTTGTCTTTGGTTCAATGAGGTCGACAGATTTACTCCCCGAGACCAACTTAGTTTTGCATATACATACCAAAAATTAAGAAGGATGAATCCTGGAAAACCTTTTTATCTTAATATGTTTAAGGTGAGCAATCTGCAGAATATCACCTCAAAATATTTCAGTTCAAATTTACTCTGAAATATTCAGAAGTGTCTTTTCCAAAAACTACTCAAGTGGAACATAAGAAATTGAAAGGGAAAAGGGAAAAGGAATCTGGAACCCAGATTTAACAATTTTTTCAACATGTTGCAGGACTGTGAGAGAAGAAAAATAGCCAAGTTGTTTCGTCACAGGTCAGATGAGAAGCGAACTATTCAGAGAAATGCAATGCAGTAACGTGTTCTATATTTTTATGTTTGCTGGTTTTGACATATTACACTTGGCCATACACCTCTTGAGTGCTTAGTGAATATATACATATATCCGTGGTCCAACAGTGATGGACTCACTGCCAGTCAATATGCTCCCTACATTAAATTTTGTTATTCAGATTTATGGATTTTTTAGCATCTTATATCGGCAAACACAGAGTCGACGATACAGTTGCTACTTAACATCTCCTTGGAGGAGGGCAGGGAGCTGCACTAGTGTTTTAGTAATGCCAATTTTACCTCCTATTCATTTGGAGGTAAGAGAAAGTTCTAAATTCATTTGTACCATTTCTATGACTATATAAATTCTGTAATTCTATGTACTCTCAAACCGATTGATATGGGGTTCATTTGAAGATAATTTGACGTTTCATTCAAAACTTTTTGCTGCTTTTGCAAGTTTGAGTTGCGCTAATGGTATCGAATGGTGTAGCTTTTTGAATACAAATTCCATTTGATTCGTTTATGATGTAAGTTTTCAAGTGTACGTATTTTGAATTACTGATGTGAAGCACCTCTTATGTTTGTCTTTTATAAGAATATTATATCACATGTGGATGTGAGGATTGGGACCTACAATCTCTTAGAGCAAGTAGAAATGCTTTAACCGTTGAGCATTACTCAACTTGACACGTCTCTGTATACTTGAATCTGTATATTGGCCATAAGTCCCAATTTGCTGTGTTACTAAGAGTTATATCGACAGCAATTTTTGCTAATAGTTTATCTCTTCCTTTTATAATGTACATTACCTGCAGAGTTCAAACATCTCCGACCCTCCTTCAGGGCCATAGAGTTCTTCAGCAAATCAACACTGTTTTCAATCTTCTCGTCTGCAGCCGAGAAGCTGAGCTCTAAGATCCATTGCAGATTCCTTTCCTTATCGACCAGAACGGATGTCATACTCAATGTCTTCAATCCCCTTGTTGAAGCTAGAATTCAGCTAATATAACCTCAAGGTCAGTTTCATACAAAAGTTTATCTCCTCCACTTGAATTAAGACTGGACAGACTTGTGAGTACAGAAAGAATAAACCTATGAATAAATTTGTAATGTGGATTTTCCCTTGCTTTTGGTCTTTGAAATGTTATCCGTGAACAAGCTCATCTCTTTCCATTTCTCATCAGCATTTCGTCCCCCAAAATCTCAGTTTCAGCCTTGCTTGATTCCTAAATACAGTCCACCATTAGACAAGAGGACTACGTGTGATCGTGTTCTGTACCAAAATACATATTTGTACTACGATCATCAGTGTAGAGAAAAGAATACGTAGTCTTTAAGGAGAGTTTAGTATAAAAAAATTGTGGGGTTCAGAAGTCACTAATATCCATTGCTGCATATTGAGCTTCCCTGTTGTGCTAGGAAAGGAATAACCGATGCCATTTCGATTGATGAAGCCATAAGAAAACAAAGCTCTGTTTTTCTGAATCATAAAATTCTTGGAAGAGGTTGAATTTTGAATCCAACAATTATTTGTGGCAGTACAAGAGGAAAAAAAATAGAAGGTGATGTCTGGTTTCCGATGAAGAATCACAATGACTTGGAAAGGGAAATGGTTGAGTTTGAAGCAACCATTATTTTTCTTGTATTTATTATTATTGTTTTATCGTGTTAAAAATAATATCCGGATATCTTTTAGAAGTTCGAAACATTTTTCAATTTTACAAATATTATATTCAGTTTTTCTTTTTAAATTTTCTTTTCACGTTTTCCCCCTCTCAAGATGAATTTTCCATCCATTTTGTAGCAAGAATTGTCATCTCTACCTTAAATTTTCATGAGATGTGTTGAAGTGCAATTTTCAAATATATTTAATTGACTAAAAATATTTTTTCTAGTTTCCCCTTGTATTTCACCATACATCAATTTACCAAGAAAGAATTTAACAAGTTCCAAAATATGGGAAATATATAGTTTTCTTAAATATATTTTTAAGAGACGCCTATATAGTAGCATCAATAAATTATTAAAGAATGAAATTTATGATTTGAATGGAAGAAGTAGGTATTATTCAAATACTTGAATTTATTTTTGAAATACAAAAGGTAGGAAACCTAAATTATGAGAACATTACATTATAGGAGCTCTCCCTTTTTAACTTGACAGCTAAATTACATTGACGTAATCTCCAAGCCTTTGAGGGAAAATTAAAAAAAAGATTCATATGATAAAACCATACCTTTAGCTTAGAGCTTATTCACAATGGATATGGAAAAGCCACTCCTCTATTCCAATGCTTAACCAACAAATTTATTTGTACTAAGAAAAAAAAAAGGAGCAAACAAATTTATTTTTATTTTTATTCCATCCAAAAATCTGAATCCCAATCCCCAATCAATCACCATGTCCGAGCTTTGGGCTTCCTCCGAAAGCTATGCAGAAACAGAAGCTTCTTCAGCACCTTCATTATCACTACCACGCTCGCCATTCTCGCCGATAGCAGTGCCTTTGGTTCCTCCGACTTCAAGTATTCAAGTTCCGGCACCCTCCCAGACCCGAATCTTGAACTCAAATTGTTCAGCAGTTCTTCGTTGAAATCCTCCCACAGCACATCCATCTTCTCATCTTCTTCCTCATCGCTATCAATTACTCTCTCACGAGCCCTTCTGACATCCAAATTGCAAGAATTTACCTTCCTATGACCTCCGTAACTTCTTTTCTCTGCTTCAGAACAATCAATATTCCCATAGCCATGGTGGTCAATTGATTTTGGAGAAGAAGAGAGGCACCAGAGAGGTGGCGATTCAGTGATTGGGGAGGAGCTGCCATGGAAGGACGGGAAGCTGAAGCCTTCTCGAGCTGCCATGGCGGTGAATTGGTGAGTAATTGAAGTGGGAAGTGGTTCAATCAAATGGGTAAAAATTGGGGCCTGAGATTGTTTTATAAAGCAAAAAGTTTGAGGTGGGTTTTGGTTTTACTGAATTGAATCAAAAGGGGGGATTGGGAAAAGGATGGGACTGCAACTCAAAAAATGATCTTGAGTTTGGAAGTAATTGGAGGCATATGAAGCAAGCTAGTTTGTCATTGTCACTCCTACAGTTTAAGGAAATGCATTGAAGGGCCGGTGGGCATCACTTTTGCATTCAAACTACTATATGGTATAACCTCCAATCTCATTTTTATTAAATCATGTTATTAGCAACTCAAATTTGATGATAAATGAATTTGATAGATAAACTCTGATAGTATATTTTATATTAATAATGTGGTGACCCCACAAGTCATGTGGGTCGAAAATGTATGTTTATGTTTGATCTTAGACAGTATTTTGACTGAAAAGTAGAGAAAATTATGGAGTTTGAGAGTATAGGAAGTAAATCACTGAACATATCATTTAACTTTTAAAAATTTTCTCCCACTTGATTTGGTTGTCCGAGTTTGCAGTTTAAAGACGTGGTGGATTGAATCCATATATGTGGTGCCATTTGGATGTATTTTGTGAAATTGGGAAACAAACTTTGAGAAGATTGGACACTTTTCAAGTTTCATGTGAGTTGTACAGAAATTTTACCATGGGGAGTTGATGCCATGCCACTTCATTTGTGTCTTGCTTGTGTTTGTTCTTGTTGCCAACTTTCCACCCACTAATATCTCTTTTTGCTGTTTCTTTACTTCTGTTTTAACTGCAGAAAATGGGAAAAGAAATTTACCTAATGCGTTAATTTTGAACTCATCATCTTCTCGTTGTGTTGTCACTGTCACTGCCCACACGCTTTTAGATGGTAACATTCCAAGAAACTGGCCATGATTCCATTATATTTTCAGCATCTTTTGAACTTCAGTCCAATTTCTAAGAAAATCATTGATAAACAAGCTCAACTTTTATAAACAAAACGATCATGGATGCAACCTCGAGATCGTAATTTTGTGGGGTCATTCCCCTATAACTGAAATGCGAGGATATTTATGGACTCAAATGGTAACAAAGTAAATTTACTATGGGCAATGATGCTAGAAAGAATTTCTATTGGATCAAGAAAGAAGTAAAAAGAAAGGGAATACATGAGTGAAGTATAATCATGCATGTAAATGATCCTTCCAACTTGCTCTACCAAGCCATTCTATGAGCCAGACATCTCTCCGAAAAGTCTATATTTCTTTGTGAATATGAATGAATGATATAATATAGTATAGAGAACAATGGGCTAAAAGTTGCAACTCACAAAGAGGTTCCTAACAGAAAAAGGGGAGTTTGAAATGAATTTCTCCAATGGAAGAAATGAGATTACCGCTGTCAGTCAGACTTGTATCCTCTTCGAATTTATCGACAATGTTCACAATCACAAAGCCAGTCGCTGCCGTACCTTCCCCCACGACTTGTGCAGGAAATGTGATAAGAGGATAAGAGTGAACTCGTAAATCGCGGCAAATCTAAGATTAATGGCTAATCTTATCACAATGGTTCTTGATGCTGAAGTGGGATAGCTTCAAGTTCAGAACCCTCTTCTATGTGTTTAGAATGTCGCGAAGAAAAAGATGGTGTCGTAGAAGCTATAATGAAACAAAACTTCGATTATGAGATATTTTGAAACTGATATGGATTAAAACAATGGAAGGAGGAACTGAGGACCCACCCTCAACCATATCCTTTGTTTTGTGAAGAAGAAAAGTACCAGCGAGAATTGTCACAAAACCACACATCTCTGTGAAAATTTGGATTGCACTCTGTCGATCCCAATCCTGCAACATCAATAATGTAAATGCATTCCGATGAGTCAGAAAAGTTAATAATAAACATAAAATGTAAATAAAAGGGAGAGAAATATAGTTATTTTCGTGCATTAAGAATTATAATGACGACTAACTGATAGAACCGCAGTGCATTATGCCTATATTAGAAAAGGAAGAGGCGACAAGGATAGGGGAATGAAGTATTGAGAAGGGAGGTCGAGTCAGTGAAAGAGAAAGGACAGTTGGTACTTCTTTGCATGAATAAGAGCACGAAAGGATCAGAAATTCAAGAACATTAGTAGTGAATTTGACCAATAAATTGGTATCGGAGGAAATTGGAAGTGCCCCACTTCATGTTGAAACTTTGGAAGGGGAATGATGATTGATGATAGACCCCCGGTGCATTATAATACCTATGTTAGAAGAGTAAAAAGACAGTAAGGAGAGGGAAATTAAAGTACCAAGAACGAAACTGGCTGCCTTAATGGAAGAGG